TCTGAATCCCGCTGAAGGTGGGGACTTCCTGGCCCGGAAGCTGTCCAGCACTGACCCTGCACTTGTATGAGGCCATTTAGAAGCTGTTAAAGTGCTCTTCTTAATGTGGCTTAAAGTCTAACTCCTGAGATTCTTATTCTGTGATCTTTTATCTGTGAGTCACCTCAGCCCAGAAATTTTTTTTAAAAAGAGAATGCTGGGGAAGTGCAAAGAGACATCCTATTTACATTCAAAACAGAAAAAAGTAAAATCAAAACAAACAAACAAAAACAACCTCTGTTCCGGTTTCCCTGCTTGTTGCTGGGGACACTGATCGTTTCCAGACCTGACAGATCTCCTGAGAAACTGGTATCAGCCATTTGAGGAAGAGAACTGAGACCAAGACAAACTGTAGAATGGGGTTCCTGAACTTAAACGATGGTAAGAGCTGTGTTCCTGAGGCCAGATTGAGTAAGTCTGAGCTTCCAAACCGGCACTGAATGCAGTTATACCTATATTTCATGGCCTACTGCCTCCTTCCTTGCCTTGGGGGTTTTAGAGAGGTGACTGAAATCAAAACATACCCTGACTGAGACAGAATAACTTACCATTTCATGTTTTTTTCAATGTTGTTTTTAATAGACTGGGACTGGTGGAACCATAATTGGTCAGGGATTGTTTTTAAATGAAATATCAACAGACTTGACGAAATACAGCTGTATACATTCAAGTGCCATCTTGTTACAATGTATTTGCTCTTCTAATGTTTGTTCTACTAATATTTACTGCAAAGCATAATTAGCGTAAGATAGTAAGACATCTAAAACATGACATGTAATTACAAGCAAAAAGAGACTGCTGACTCAGAAAGAATACGGTTTTCCATCTGAGTGGATCCACTGTCTTAATTAAAAGCCAAAAGAGTATTTTTGAGTAAGATTTCACTGTGACTGGATTTCAGTCCAAGCTAAAAAAATGTTAAAATGAATGGGTTTTTAAAAATGCACAAGTCCCAAGAGAAATTGCTACATTCTAGACACTTTGCTAGCTGCTTTTACCTGTGTTAGCTCCTTACAGCCTCCTAATGCCTTATGTGGTGTAAGTACTGTTTTTATGTCCATATTCTATAGGCATAGGACCTCTCTTGGTTGCAGGCCACACAGCTATGCAGTAGTGGACATGGATTATAGCCCTGGCAGTCTGGCTTTAGTCTGTGCTCAGAGCCATTACTATAAAAGCAGCTTTAATAGTTAATGAAGACAGCTTACTTAAAGAAAATATACATCAGTAGATAATTTTATCCTAAGATATAAGTAATTTGTAAATAGTAGGAGTTGCCATGTGTCAGGCACCTGTTATGTGCCTGGCTGTTTAGTAAGCACTTTTCTATACATGATTTATGCAGTCCTCAAAATGCCCTGGGAGGTAAAGGATTTAGTATCTTCATATTACAGATGATGCAACTTGAGTATTAAAGAGGTTAAATAACTTACTTGAAGTCTTGTAAAAACTGTTCTGTAGCAGAAACGAAATTTGACCCAGATCAGTTCACTTCCAAAGGTCATATGTGTAACCCCTGTTGCTGGGCTGCTCTGTCCATGTTAAGATTCAAAAACACATGCCCAGACAGTGTGTTTCTCCTTTCTTAATGAAATTTTGATAATGAAAAATGTTGATCAACGAGAGCAAGTCAAGAAGGTTTTATATCTGGGAATATTATAATATTAAATATAGCATAAAGTATTTCTGGTTGCCATTAGAAAATAATCTGTCGGCCTGCACCGCGGCTCAATAGGCTTATCCTCCACCTGCGGCACCGGCACCCTGGGTTCTAGTCCCGGTTGGGGTGCCGGATTCTGTCCCGGTTGCTCCTCTTCCAGGCCAGCTCTCTGCTGTGGCCCGGGAAGGCAGTGGAAGATGCCCAAGTGCTTGGGCCCTGCACCCACATGGGAGACCAGGAGAAGCACCTGGCTCCTGGCTTTGGCTCATCGCAGTGCGCCGGCCATAGCACGCCGGCCGCAGCGTGCCGGCTGCAGTGGCCATGGCGGGGTGAACCAAAGGCAAAGGAAGACCTTTCTCTCTGTCTCTCTCTCACTGTCCACTCTGCCTGTTAAAAAAAAAAAAAAGAAAAAGAAAAAAAAAATCTGTCAAGAAGCATACCGAGTACTGTGTTTGGGAGTATGTTACACTGTGATCCAGAGTTTTGATGTTCTGATACAATCATATTTTGTCTGTAATTGGCAGATTGTGTATCTAGAATAATTTTTTTGCTTAGAAAGTTGAACTTACAGAACAAGAACTTGATTTTTGTGTAAAGAAAGAAATCCATCACATACTTATTCAGCCAGCGTTAGTGTAATGAGATTTCTAACTTTGCAGACAGGAAAAATAGTGGCTGCCCAATTGAGAAAACAATTGTTGATTTCAAAGCAAAATGTAGGACTAGAATATTGTTTCAGATTCTTCATTCATGAACTTACTAATGAAAACAAAAATAGAATTATGACACAAGATGACATCTCCCTTTAACCGTGTATAACAAGGCTATGTAGCTCATTGTGGAAGAGAAGAAGTCTGAAAATTGAGATGTGGTTGAACTAATTATGAGTTTTGGTGCCACCATGGCCTGGTCCTGTACTTGACCTAGGGATTTGGGCTTAGCTTCTTTACATCTTAGTGTACAGTTTTTCCAAGGAGTGTTAAGCTGAAGACCTGTCAGCCTTTAGTTCCTGGTATGTTCTTCAAATGCTGACTTTCCGTATCATCATTACCCACTTCCACACGTCTGGATGTGCTTGGTTAGGATCCTAATACTCACTGTGGTGGTTCTGTTCAGCCACCTGTTTAATGATACCTGTTCCTATAGACTGCAGAGATTTATCACTTTCCTTTGCCTCACTCGCTGGTGACAAAACATAGCTCAGAGAAGCACAAAGGGCTTAATCACTTTCAATTTTATGGAATTTACAACATCAATTCAGTAATCTGAAGTAAAAAATTCAGTAAACATTTCTTATAGAGTCTATATTCAGTTGTATTTGGTAAAGATAAATATCCATGTTTATACATTCCCAGGTTTATATGAGCCCAGTTTAATGAGAAGTCATGAGTTAAAATTGGATAAATGAAAGCTGATCATGCCTCTATAATGAAGCAACACAAATATACAAGCACGTGCTTCCATTTGCTTCTCTTTGAGGTGAATTACGGCAGATCTGGGCATGAACAAAATTTTTAGGTCAAAGGTTTTGTTTCCCTTTTCTCTCTCTATTTCTTCCTTAAAGTGGTCATTTTCTTGCATTTTAGGAAATAAGGAATTGGTACTGCATCTAGATACATTAATATGAAGAAAAATTTTTCATGCTTAAGTCTTAGATCTTTATTTATTTAAAGTTTATTTTATTTATTTGAAAGGCAGAGTTACAGAGAGAAGGTGAGTGAGAGGAAGGGACAGAACTCTTCAATCCACTGGTTCACTCCCTAAAAGGCTGCAACAGCCAGAGCTGGGCTGGTCTAAAGCCAAGAGGCAGGAGCTTCTCTCAGATCTCCCATGCGGGTGCAGGGGCCCAAGCACTTGGGCCACCCTCGACTGCCCTCCCAGGCCATTAGCAGAGAGCTGGATCAGAAGTGGAACAGCCTTGGCCGTCGCCACGGCTCACTAGGCTAATCCTCCACCTGCAGCGCCAGCACCCCGGGTTCTAGTCCCGGTTGGGGCACGCACCGGATTCTGTCCCAGTTGCCCCTCTTCCAGGCCAGCTCTCTGCTGTGGCCCAGGAAGGCAGTGGAGGATGGCCCAAGTGCTTGGGCCCTGCACCCGCATGGGAGACCAGGAGGAGGAAGCACCTTGCTCCTGGCTTCAGATCGGCGCAGCATGCCGGCTGTGGCCATTTGGGGGGTGAACTAACTGAAGGAAGACCTTTCTCTCTGTCTCTCTCACTAACTCTGCCTGTCAAAAAAAAAAAAAAAAAGTGGAGCAGCCTCAACTTGAACCGGTGCCCATAAGGGATGGTGGCCTTGCAAGTGACCACTTTACCCCTTGTGCCACAACACTGACCCCCAGACCTTTATTTTAAGAAAGCATTTAAAGGGATAATATAAATTAGTGTGTGCACTATAGGCTGGTTTTAACATGTAATTAATATGTAATTACAAAGTAAAACTACAGCACTGCTTTTACAGAAAAGACAATATGTTCTTTCAACACCTCAACTTATGTCCTCTTTCTAATTATTGGTAATAGTATAATATTTGTTTTTGTTACAGCTCTGTCCCCACACTTTTTGTGGAGTAAGAGCCCCTGTAGTCAATTAATTCCTTGTGACTACATGTCCCAAATTGTGGTTGAATTTTTCAATATCTGCATTTTCCAGAATAGTTCATTTTAACATTCTAGCTTTAAAATCTCCTTTCTGAGGGAGCTGGTGCTGTGACTTAGTGGGCCAGCCTTCTCCTGTGGCACTGGCATTCCGTATGGATGCTGATTCATATCCCAGCTGCTCCTCGTCCTGTCTAGCGCTCTGCTATGGCCTGAGATGGCAGTAGAGGATGGCCCAAATGCTTGGGCTTCTGTACGCACATGGGAGACTCAGAAGAAGCTCCTGGCTCCTGGCTTCAGATCAGCCCAGTTCCAGCCATTGCAGCCATTTGGGAAGTGACCTGGTAAAAGCTCCTGGCTCCTGGCTTTGGAGCAGCTCACTTCTGGCTGTTTCAGCCATTTGGTTAGTGAACAAGTGAATGGAAAATCTCTCTGTTTCTCCCTCTCTCTCTAACTCTACCTCTTAAATAAATAAATAAATAAAGTCTTCTTAAAAAATCTCCTTTCTGAGTAGTTCATGAAAATTGCTAATGAACTTTTATAGATGATATTAGTATGAATTACCTTGTGGAATTATATATCCTTTCTAACATTTTAGTGGAACTATTTGATTTTAAATTAAGAAAGATAGTTGTTGGGATGCAATTATGAACCATTTTTCAAAACACTTCTCTTATGCAATTAACAAAACCTCTGTTTTTCTCAGAGAGCAGCATGCCGATGATGTCAAAGAAGACTTTGAAGAGCGAACAGAAAATGAAATGAGGACATCACATGAAGCCAGAGGTAAGCCATACAATTCTCACTTCATTGATGAATGCTTTTTTTAATATTCAGTAATCAGTATGTAATTGGAACACAGCACTTATTTTTGTATTAAAGATAAACTTCATTTGGTTGCCTTGTTCCTCATTGTAATGTAGGCAATAAAATTGAACTGTCCAGGATAACTATAGTATGGCACTCACAGTGGGAGGGATGCATCTGTGCCCAGTACTTACTGGCTGTTACACATGTCAGTACAGTATTGTATATAAAGGGTGGGAAGACATTCTCTTTGGTCCTTGTCGTACATTTTTCTTAGTATTGTTGGTGTCCTTTGCTTCCGAATGTTTTTTAAATTCTGTAGAATATGGCCTTGATCTAATGCCACAAAATGAGAAGAAAATCACTTGAATAAATACTTTAAAATAAAAAAAACTGTTGATAAACTATTATACTATTTGTTGAAATCTTTACTTACTATAGAGTTAATCTCCTGTGTATAAAGTTAATTGAAAATAGATATTAATTAAAAATAAGAATGAGAATAGGAGAGGGAGGAGGAAGAAGGGTGGGAGGGTGGGTATGGTGGGAAGAATCACTATCACTATGTTCTTGAAGTATTTATGAAGTACTTGAAGTTTGTATACCTTAAATAAAAGATTTATGGGGGAAAAAACAATATAGAAAGCGAGAAAGCATGAAAGTGACAGTGAAGTTCCATCTGTCTTTTCTGACCTAGAACAATTACTGTAATGAGAAAATTTAGCACCAGACATGAAATAATTTAACCTGAGTTAATTACTGGCAAAACTGATATGGCGTGCCACCAGATGGCTTCCTATCTACTAAAGAAGTTAATAGATTCTGTTTTCTTCTCAATAAAGTACAAAATTGTTTCAAAATACATAAATAAATAATTTGTATTGAAGAAAGTGATTTACCAACCTCTTTGTTTAAAAGATATTAACAGTGGTTTCATTAAGCAGTGTAGTCATTCTTTTAGTCATGGTTTGGCTTGTATTTATGATTCACATATAATTAGATAATTATTATTTTCTGTAAGAAGATGTGGGTCTATGAATTTAATGATTGCCACTGTAGACTGCTTTCCGTGTGCTCTGCTTATTTAGATTGTTGTATGCTGTTTGAGAATGGCACAACTTCCTCATGAGGATGTAAGGAGGACTATGTGTGATAACAGTTGTGACTTGGTTAGAGGGCTGCCTGGCACACAGGAAGCACTATGCAAGCATTTGATTATTTAAGACAAATGCTCGAGCATTTCTTTGTCAGCAGAAGTTTACTGGAGAGGCTAGGAGGACGACCTTCATTCAAGTCTCACATCTGCCACACACTGGCCATATGGCTGGTTCTGGGCCAAGCACGTTGCCTGTCTGTGCCTCAGTTTCCTCCTGTGAAAAAGTGATGTGGAAATAGTGTGTACATCATTGGATTATCATTAGTGATAAATACATCAGTGACTGAAGAATTTACTTTTGTGAAGTAAGAGCGTCCTGTATCATTGACAAGTGATAATTGGAAGTTCAGATAGATTCATAATACAACCTAGGCTCTGAACCTTTTCTTAAAAAAATTGATTTATTTATTTGAGAGGCAGAGTTACAGAGAGAGAAAGGGAGAAAGAGAGAGCGAGAGAGATCTTGCATCCACTGATTAACTCCCCAGATGGCTGCAACAGCTGGAACTGGGTTGATCTGAAACCAGGAGCTAGGAGATTCTTCTGGGTCTCCCACATGGGTGAAAGGCCCAAGCACTTGGGCCATCTTTCTCTGCTTTCCCAAGCCATAAGCAGAGATGTGGATCAGAAACGGACAAGCCAGGACTCAAACTGGCACCCATATGGGATACTGGCACCACAGGCAGAGGCTTAACTTACTATACCATGGCCCCAACCCCACTCTGAATCTTTTCAGGGAGTAATATTTTGATAGCATTTTCATTTTCTATGTAACTTTTCATTTTATTTGCTGAATGAAATTTTGATTTTTTTTCTGATATTACTTAATGGAGGTTGATTAATGTGGAGAATTTTTCTCTTTCAACTGCCTATTTCTGTTTATTCTTCAGGAGTTTTGATTGACATGGGTAGTTGTACATTTTTATGGGGTACAGTGAAATATTTCAGCACAGTTATTCAGAGTAAAGTGACAAAGTAGGCAAATTAACTTCTCTGTTTCTTTATCTTCTCTTTGTGTTTGGAGTTTCCAGCTCCTCTTCCTGCTTTGTAGACAGTATATAATATATCACTGGAACTACAGGCACTGCACTGTTGTGTGGAACCCTAGAACGTGTTACTCTTTTTGTCAGTTTTGGTACCTGCTATTCAACTTCCTCTTATCCCTCTTCCCCCACCTTTCCCAGCTGCCAGTAATCATGAGTCCATGGCCGGCGCCGCAGCTCACTAGGCTAATCCTCCACCTAGCAGCGCCGGCACACTGGGTTCTAGTCCCTGTCGAGGCGCCGGATTCTTTCCCGGTTGCCCCTCTTCCAGGCCAGCTCTCTGCGTGGCCTGGGAAGGCAGTGGAGGATGGCCCAAGTGCTTGGGCCCTGCACCCCATGGGAGACCAGGAGAAGCACCTGGCTCCTGCCATCAGATCAGCGCAGTGCGCCGGCCACGGTGCGCCAGCCATGGCGGCCATTGGAGGGTGAACCAACGGCAAAAAGGAAGACCTTTCTCTCTGTCTCTCTCTCTCACTGTCCACTCTGCCTGTCAAAAAAAAAAAAAAAAAAATCATGAGTCCATGTTCAGATAGACTTTTTTTACCTTCTATGTTTGAGGGAATGTGCTGGGTATGTCTTTGTATGTCTGACTTATTTTACTTAACATACTGTCCTCTAGTTTCACTCATTTTGCTGCACATGTGAGGATTTCATTATTTTTATGGCCATATATTGCATTGTGTATATATACCACATTTTCATTGTCCATTCAATATCAGTGAATACCTAATTTGTATCTGTATCTTGACAGTTGTGAACATGGGAATGCAAATATCTCTTTGGTATGATGGTTTCGTTTCCTTTCTACAGTCAGAAGTGATAGATCTAATTTCAGTTTTTGAGGAACCTCCTTACTCTTCATAATGGCTGTATTAATTTCCATTCCCACAAATAGTGTACATGGGCTCCCTTTTCTCCCTGTCCTCACCAGCATTTGTTATTTTTTGTCTTCTTGATAATAGCCATTCAAATTGGAATGAGATGGTGTATCATTGTGATTTTGATTTGCATGTCCTTGATCCATAATTACATTGAGAATTTTTGTAGCTTTTGTGAATAAGATAGTTCTTGTAATAATTTCTTTCTCAGTGAGTTCATTGTCGATATATGAAACACTGCTGTTTTTGGTGTGTTGATTTTGTATCCTCCGACTTTACTAAATTTGTTTATCAGTTCTAATAGTCTCTTGCTGGAATCCTTGGGTTTTTACCTATGTAGTGTGTCATCTGCAAACAAGAACAATTTGGCTTTCTCTTTTCCTATACATATACCTCTTATTTTCTTCTCTTGCCTAATGGCTCTGAATAAAACCTCCAGTACTATATTGAACAAGAGTGGTGGGAGTGGTCATCCTTGCCTGATTCCAGATATTAGAGGAACTCTTTCAGTTTTCTCCATTCCATGATTTGGCTGTGGATTTGTGTATATAATCTTTATATTTTTGAGCTATGTTCTGTCTATATCTAATTTGTTCAGGGTGTCTTTTTGTAAATCATGAATAGATGTTAAATTTTATTGAATACTTTTTCTACATCTATTGAGAATGTCAAATGACTTTTATCCTTCATTCTGTTGATATGATGTATTATGCTTAATGATTTTTATATTATGCTGAACTGCTGAATCCCTGGGATAAATCCTAGTTGATCTTGCTGAACGAATGATCTCTACACTACATTGTTGGATTCAATTTGCTAGTATTTTTTGGAGAGTTTTTAAAGCAAGTTTATCAAGGATGTTGGTCTATAGGTTTCTTTTTTGTTGTTTGCTTCTCTGGAATCAAGGTAATGAATGCTGGCCTCATAAATGAATTTGAAAGGGTTCCTTCCCTTGCTGTTTTTTGGGACTATTCTGAGAAGATGTTTATTTTTCCTTAAAAATTTGAAAGAACTTAGCAGCAGAGATATCTAGTCCTGGGATTTTCTTTATAGTGAGACTTTTGATTAGTGATTCAGTCTCATTACTCATTTTCTATATCTTTGTGATTCAATTTTTGCAAGTTGAATGTATCCATAAATTTATCCATTGCTTCTAGGTTTCCCAGTTAGCATCTGTATAGTTCATAGTAATCCTCAATAATCCTTTATACTTTAGTGAAGTCCATTGTAATATCTTTCTATTTTTTAAGAAAAGATTTATTTATTTGAAAGAGCTATAGAGAGAGAGGGAGAGACAGAGAAAGAGAGATCTTCCATCTTCCATCTGCTGTTTCACTCGCTAGATGGCTGCAGTGTCTGGGGCTGAGCCAGGCAGGAGCCAGGACCTTTATCTGGGCCTCCCACCTGGGTGCAGGGGCCCAAACATTTGGGCCATATTGAACTGCTTTTCCCAGGCCATTAGCAGGGAGCTGAATTGAAAGTGGACCAGCACCTATATGGCATGCCAGCCCCTGTAATATCTTTTTCAACATCTTAAAATTTATCTATTTGAGTTTTCTCTATTTCTTAGTTGAGCTAAAATTTTACCTTACCTTTTTTGCCTAAGTAATTTTTACATACCTTTACAAAAAGCCAACTCTTCATTTTGTTGATACTTTAGATTTTTTTGTCTTTCTTTCATTTATGTTTTCTTTGATCTTTCTCATTTTTTTCTTTTTACTAGCTTTGGTTTTCTTATTTTTCTAGTTTCTTGAGCTGTACTTTTAGATTGTGTATTTGGTACCTTTCAATTTTTTTCATGTAGGTACTTATTACTATAAAGCTCCCTCCTAGTCCTGCTTAGTTTCAAAGTACTTGAAAATTTCCCTTTGATTTCTTCAGTGACCCATTGTTCATTCAGAA